AGAGCTTATCTGGGGTTTATCTTTACATATACTTATATTTTAAGGGTTGGGGGTGTTTAGAGCATTGAACCATTTACATGTAAGAACTGGATGAAATGAAAATGTTCAGAAGGGTGATAGGCCAAGGAATCCTTTGGGTATCCATTTCCAATAAGCTTCTGAGGAACAAAAAGACTCAGGCTCAGCCATGAAGGCTTCATTCTTTATATTTTGGCAGAGTTGGTAGTGGCTCAGGGGATATCATATTTCACTGCACTGGCTTTAATAGGATAAGATGTTAGCTAACATGATAACAGCTTTAGGTGATTTCAGGAGCTTGGGGCAGGGGGAATGAAATCAGTCACTGAAGTGACAGTCTAATTACATAAGAATGGGACCAGCACAGTGGGTACAAATACTTCCCCTAAAGCAGTGGATTTAGAAATTCCACCATGTTCTGTTCTCAAATTTGAGAGGTTTTTCTGAAATTAAATGTACTACGTTATGAATCTTACTAAATCCAGTTCATCTCTTTGGAACAGGTTAAGGAGACAGAAATTGATGTCACAGCTGGAAGGAAAAGACAGGTAAGATTATTAGGAAGCAGTTAGGCAAGTTAGGGGTATCATCAATAATACCACAGGTGGATATGATTAAAGATGGAGTCAGATAGACATGAGTTTGAATCCCAATCCAGCCACCTCTGGCTGGCTGACACCTAACACGCTTTTTTCACCTCTCTGAAAGTAGGTTTCCTCATGTGTAGAGAGTTTAAATGTCTAATAACTCAAGAGCTATCAGCCACATAATTAGAAGACACCAGGAATACACCCTTTATTTCTCAAAGTACCAAATGCACTCACAAAACAGTCTCAAATGCGAACTGCTCTGTCCTTCACATCTACTGGCAGCTAACCACCTTGGAGATGCCTCACAGCTGTTGCTCACCACAGTGAGAAGAGAATGCCAATGTCAAGTGTGGTAGTCTGCCCCCAAAAGGATTCAAAGTTTTGAAGGTAATTTATTATTCATTCATAGACAACGGATACATAGTTTACTATAAAGAGTAAGGTGCTTCCATAACAAAAACCCAAAATGTTGGAGTGGCTTTGGAACTGGGCAGTTGGAGAAGCTGGAAGGACTCGGAGGAGAGTTTTAGTGAAAGCCTGAAGAGCCTTGAAGAAACTGTTAAAAGAATGCTGGCAGCTTTTGAGAAGACCGTAGATTAAGGCTGAAGAGGAAATGAGAAAAATGTTACTGGACACTGGAGGAATGGGTCCTTGTTTTGTAGTGGCAGGAAGTTTAGCAACACTGTCACCTATATACCTTAGAAAATGAGCCTAATTAATTGGATGCGCTAGCTAAGTACATTGCCAGGTAGAGTGTTGAAATTCCTGATTATTGCAAAACGCGAGAAGAGAGAAATAATCTAAAGAAGGACTTTTAAAGAAAAGGATCCAGAACTTGCTAGATGTGAATATTCCCGTCTTCTCTAGATGGCAAATAATGCTAAAATGAAGAAATGGCTTCCAGTCAAAAATAAATTCTAGGACACTGCAAGGGAAATATCATCAAGTGATGAAGCTGGGAGTGTGGCTGTAAAAACCCTTTGTTCATACCTCCAAAAGATCTATAGTAGTGATTCAGAGAATTATTCAGACAAAATATAAGGCTTCAAAGAAGTTTATTAGTGTTGTGCTCCAGCAGTTCCAGTAGAGAGATGCTGCAGAGTAGAAAAGGGCTTATCTCGAAGAGATCTGTGGGTATGATTTTTGTCCAATGAAGTGGTGCCCCAATTAGATTCATAGGAGACTCACAACATTTTAAAAGAAATTACATTGGCAGGAACATTGCCAGCATGGACTAAATGGAACAGAGACAGTACAAAACTAAGAGGGGCCGTGAAAGCACCTAAATTCTACTGGCAGAAAGCAGACTGACAAGTTACATAGCTGCCAACATGGGCTACTTTTCTTAGAAGAGAAAGGATGACACAGAGAGTGGAATCAAGATCTTAAAGGGTGAAGTCAAAAGCCATGGAGAATCATTCCTGGGCAGAAGTAGAATTGAGCCCTAATTTGAGGAGCTTCTAATATGTGTTCAACTGCATTTCAGGATGATTGTGGACCAGTGAACTCCTCTGTGTCTTTTCTCCTTTTAAGCAGGAGTGTCTGACCAGTTATCCTAAGCCTGTCCCATCACTGTATGCTGGGAATGAGGAGGAAAACAAACATTCAGATGGAGAGGAACTATACTCGAGGCGCTGCATGTAAGACTATATCTAGAAGTTTCATCCATACCTGGACCTGATTTAGATAAGATTCTGGACTTTAAGCTTATGGTTTGAGACTTTGGGGATCTTTGGAGGAAGTAGTTGTATTTTACATTTGAGAGAGTTGTGAATCATTGGGGGCAAAAGGGTAAAATATGGTAGCCAACCTCAAAGATGCCCTGGCCAGTGTGGCTCAGTTGGTTGCGCATTGTTCCATGCACCAAACGGTCACTAGTTTGATTCCTGGTCAGGACTCATGCCTGGGTTGCAGGCTCAATTCCTGGTGGGATAGGGGAGGTTATTCAGGAGGAAACCAATTAACGTCTCTCTCTCTCCCCCTTTCCTTTCCTCTCTCTCTCAAAATCAATTTAAAAAATCTTAAAGGAAAAAGATGGCCCCAAGGATCCTCACCTTTTGGTAATCATGCCCCCGTGTAGTCCCCTTCCACAATGAATAGAGTTGATCTCTGTAACTCATAGACTATGTTGGACGTGATGACGTGTGACTGCTGAGCTTAGGTAATAAGAGACATTGCATCTTCCACCTTGCACTCTCTTGGCTCAGTTCCTTTGGGAGAATTCAACTGCCGTGTCTAAAGCAGCCCAATAGAAAGTGGTGAGTCTTCCTGACAACAGCCAGGCGAGCGAGCTACTTTAGAAGCAAATCCTACAGGTCATGCCTTCAATGCCTATAGCTCCAGCCAACATCTTCACTGAAATATTTTGAGAGACCCTGAGTTAGACCACCCAGCTAAGCCACCACTATATTCCTGGCTCATAGAAAGTGTGACATAATACATATTAATTGTCTTAAGCTGCTATGTTTTGAGGTGATTCTCTATGCAATATAGATTAATATAACAAGGTTTCTATCTCTGAATGCTCCCAAGGATTCCAATTTCTGGGGAATCTGACTGTTCTGATTGCTGTGCAGAGGGTTACAGAAGGTCTGTCTCATTGAGTCTGCCATACCTCATTACCATAACTTTTTAATTGTTCCATCAAATTTTGCCTCTAAGACCCTCTAATCAGAGGGCTCAAGAAAGGATTGTGAAGAGTCAGTAACTGAACTGTCAGGTAAGATTAAGAACAAATAACAACAACAAAAAGACACCCCTCTGTCCCCACCAAGATCTTGGACACACACAAAATATGTACTTTTAAGACACTGAAAAATTATTTTCAGTGAAAAAATATTTTCTAAATGTGATAACATGCTTATAAAAGCTATTTCCTTCTAAGCCTGGAGAGGTGGAAATTAGTAGACCTAGAGAACAGTGTTTCAAAGCAAGAAACACTACTCTCTAAGTATACCAATGTTGATGTTTGAGTTGACATTTGTTGAACATTTTTCGTTTCAGAATGGTGCATCAATCCCTGTTTTGAATGCAGTCACAGAAATAATTTCCAGAGAAATTAACTGGAAAAAAATAGAAATGTGTATTCAATTGGAAAAAACAACAACAAACTTTCTGACTTTCCTTCCAACATTCTATAGAATTGTTCTAAAGTAAAAAACACAAATATTTCTAAAAAATAAATCTCTGACAAAAGCTGCATAGAGAGTAAGCATACATTGTATGTGGAGACATTAAAATTATTTTAAATGCGTTTTACCTCACCTCCTCCCCTTGCATTTTTGCGATGTTCATCTGGAAATTGGAGCTCGATAATTGCAAGGGCGTCAATGGAAAACAGACACCATTCCATCCCCCTCCATTTTTCTCAACCACACCTTGGCCTCTTCTGGGATTAGATCAAAACGTCCCTTTTCTCTCCCAAATATGAAACAAAAGCTCTTCAATGACTGGAGAGGCGTAGATATGGTGGAGAGATGGGGGGTTGATTACACTTCAGGCAGCCAGCCAAAAATGCTCAATGTGTTCAAAAATATGTTTAAAATCCTTTCAAAGGGTCATAATGTCCATCAAATATAATTTGTGCCAATAATAATAGTTTAAATGTAGTGAATACTTCTACAAGGCAGGCACCTTTACATTTCATCCACAAAACAGCCCCTTGAAATAGGTATTACCATTATTTCCACTTTACATACATACTTTGTTAAAAGCGGAAAACAGAAAGATCAATTAAATTCTCCATGGTCACAAAACCAACAAGTTGTAGTATCAGGATCTGGGGGCCCTTGGGCAGCGGGGTCTTTCAAAACCAGCTCGTAAAGAGCCACAAACAGATCTAGCCCAATTCTTGGCACTTTAGGATCGGTTAATAAATAACAGTCCCCTTCCTCTCTTTGGAACCCAATCTCCCACTGGAACTCTCCTTTGATAAATGCTGTCTCTCCACCTACCTCGCCTGACATCTCAGACAAACCCCAGGCAGGCTCTCAGAAAAATGCACAAAGGTTGCCGCCCTCTAGGCTCTGAGCCCCCCAGGAGGCAGGAATGCAAACAGACTTTGCAAATAGACAAAGTATAGCATTGCTTTGGATCGACCATGTCTGTTTGCTCAGGCTGCCTCTGAGATTCCCCAGGCCTTGAACAAACACGACCCTTCCCAGGGTCCTCTGGAAATGCCAGGGGGCAATGCTCTGTCCTGACACCGTCCCTCGCACGCAGCAGCGGGGGACCGGGGAGGTCAGCGACACATGGGAAGGAGGGAGGCTGAAATACACATGCACACCTGCATAGTGGGCTTGGCAAATCCACTGACACCTCCAGAGAGGAACCGGGGGAGGCGGGGCCCAAGCTGGGATGTGAGGGAGGCCTCCTTCATCCTGCCCCTCCTTCCGGGGATGCGGAGCCCCCGCGGGGACCGCAGGAAAGGGCCATTGCCACTTTAAATGACTCAGGAAGTGAAAGGAGGCCGCCTGACGGGGACAGGGAAAGTGGAACCGGGGTGGCACGGAGCCCAGATCTCCGATCTCGCTGGGGCAGCGAGAGTCCAAGCAGACCGCGCGCGGGGGGCCATCAGGGGCGCCGGCCGCCGCACCGGAAGTGCCCGGGCCCCGAGGAAGCGCAGGGGGCGGCGGGGCGGCGGGGCGGGCGGGCAGGCCCTCTGCTCCTCGGCCGGCGGGGGCTGCCCGGAGCTGGCGGCAGCGGCGCCCCAGTCCCAGCCCCGCTCCCGCATCCCACGCGGCCGCTTCCCTGGGACCGGTTCGGCTGGGAGGAGGACGTGAGGAGCCCGCGGAGCCCAGCGGCGATCTCGGGGGGCCCCCAGGCCTGGGCCTGTCACCGCATCCGCATGGCCTCCGGAGTGGGCGCGGCCCTCGAGGCGCTGCCGCACGACGGCACGTGTGACCAGTGCGAGCCCGACGAGGCGCCGGGGGCCGAGGAAGTGTGCCGGGAATGCGGCTTCTGCTACTGCCGCCGCCACGCCGAGGGCCACCGCCTCAAGTTCCCCGGGCACCACCTGGGCCCGTACGTGCACGGCGCCGCCCAGGCCTGGGCCCCCCGGGGCCCGGGGGAAGGCGCGGGGCAGGCCGGCGCGCAGGCCCAGGTGGAGGAGGCGGGCGACCTAGAGAGCGAGGCGGGGGAGGAGAGCGAGTCCCGGGAAGACAGTGACTCCGTAGAAGAGAGCGAGACGGAGGAAGAGAGCGAGGGCGACAGTGAGGAAGACATGGAGGACGAGCAAGAGAGCGAGGCGGAGGAAGACAACCACGAAGATGGAGAGTCGGAGGCGGACGGGGAAACTGAGGCAGAGAGCGAATTTGACCCAGAGATAGAGATGGAGGCGGAGAGAGTGGCCCAGAGGAGGTGCCCGGACCACGGGCTCGACTTGAGCACCTACTGCCAGGAAGATACGCAGCTCATCTGTGTCCTGTGCCCGGTCATCGGGGCCCACCAGGGCCACCAGCTCTCCACCCTGGACGAAGCCTTCGAAGAGCTCCGAGTAAGTATTGGGTCTTCAGGGCGGAGGCCGAGAGGTCAGGGCGCCTGGGTTTTAACGCAGGTGGTGTCGCCGAGGCCACCTTCGCTTTGATCACGTCCCTGCAACCTTGTCTCTTCTGCTTGTTGGGAGCTCAGTCCCCCTTTGGGTGGAACTCCGTAGGGAATCAGGTGAAAGTTCTGGACTCCGACCCGAGAGAAACGCATGTCCTCACATCGAGTAGACAGTTTCTGGAAGATTGGAAGGCTCTGGCCTCCGGATCCCAGATAAAAAGCACGTGTTGGGGAGATCGGACCCCACTTAAGCCTGTTCCCGCAGCATCACCCTTGTTGAGACGGGTGCCTTGACTTTAGGGCTCTTGAGTTTTGCCAAATGAATCCTAGCCAGTAGTGTCCACACCGCCCAGGGCTGGGGTTTTGATAATCACTTCGTGTGTGCCCTGAGTTCCTTTTAGGTTCTTCATTTCTGATACTTGTTTGGAAGAGAGGATGAAAGGGTGGAGGCAACATTGGGATGGGAATGGAGGGGTCTTCAGTCCTCCATCTTTTGTAAGAAGGCCTTGCTGATCCCCTAGAATAGTGTTTGGAAAGTAGTGGACATTACTAAATACTTGTTGAATGAATGAATTTGCAAATGACTTTCCTTTTATTTATAGTGTGATGTATACAATCGATGAAACTACGGGCATTAACCAGGGAGGAATGTTTGAATGGAGTGATCAGTTTATTGACTGACTGATTGACTGATTGATTGATTGATTTAAGAGAGAGAGAAGAAGGGAGGGGGGAGAGAAACATCAATTTGTTGTTCCACTTATCACCCACTCATTGGTTGATGTATGTGCCCTGACTGGAGATGGAACTCAAAACCATGATGTATCCAGCGACACACTGACCCACTGAGCTACCCTGCCAGGGCTGGAGTGATCAGTTTATTAAGTGATCAGTTCATTAGTGAATGTTGTCATCTTTGATGACTTTTAAGTCCATAAGTCACATTGCTGGCACTGAGATACATACTCTATAATGAAAATCCTTGCATTAAGATTTTCCTTTTTTAGTGGAAAATACACACTCAAAATGTGTAAAAATATATGCACAGTCTGTCAAGTAATTTTAAAGTGATTAAGAATAGAATATTAGCAGTGTTAAAGCCCTGCGCCTTTTTCCAGTTATAACCATTTCCAACTTAGTAACTATTATCCTGACTTTTACAGTGATAATTTCCTTGCTTATTTTTTATACTTTTACCACATATGTATGCATTCCTGAACTTACTTGAACTTGGCACAGTGGGTATAATATGTCATTGTGTTTGTAAGATTCATCTAGCAGGTGGCTGTGATTTGTTCATTTTCATTGTTGTATAGAATTTCATTTTATGAATATGGCACAACTTACCTATTCTGTCAATAATCAACATTTGAGCCCAGCTGGCATGGCTCAGTGGTTGAGCATCAACCTATGAACCAGGAGGTCACGGTTGGATTCCCAGTCAGGGCGCATGCCCGGGTGGTGGGGGTGGATCCCCAGTGTGGGGCGTGCATCTCTCATCATTGATGTTTCTATCTCTCTCTCTCCCCCTCTCCCTTCCTCTCTGAAATCAATAAAAATGTATTTTAAAAATAATTACAATGAACATTTAATTTCCAAATTCTGGAGTTTCTGGCCATCATAAATATTCATATAAACAATCTTGTTCATGCCTCCCAGCACACATCTGCATATATTTAAGTGAAATATAAACCTAAGACTATGATTGTTGGGTCATAGACTATGAATATCTATATATATAAAAGCCTAAGCAACTGTTAGACCAGTAGCTATGACACGGATTGACCACCAGGGGGCAAACGCTCAATGCATAGACATGAAAACATGGAACAGATTGATGGGGGGGTCCCTCGGCCTGCCTGCGCCCTCTCGCAATCTGGGACCGCTCAGAGGATGTCAGGCTGCTGGTTTCGGCCCTATCCCTGCAGGCCAGGCCAAGGGACCCCACTGGTGCACGAATCCATGCACCGGGCCTCTAGTCTTTAACATTACTAGATGCTGCCAAATAGTTTCCAAAGTGGTTGTACCAATTTGCATTGCCATGAAGAGTGCTTGAGAGATCTTGCTCTGTATCCTCAGGAACAGTTGCTATTACAGAATTTTTAATTTTTGTCAATCTTGTGGATATGTAATATCTTCTTGTGGTTTAAATTTGCATTCCTCTGATCACTGATGACTGAATACCTTGTATTTCTTCTTTTGAAGTGCCCATTCAGGTCCTTTCTATTGGTTTATCTATCTTTTTCTCATTAATTTATAGAAGTTTTACATATTTATTTCTGACTTCTTTGTTGTTTATATATATGGGTTGCAAGTATCTTCTTATATACTCTGTTTTCTCTTTTTCTTTTTAAAATTTTGTGCCTTGAATGAAGTTCTCTATTTTAATGTAATAGAATTTTCACCAATAATTTTCTTTATTGTTAATGCTTTTTGTGCTTTGTTCAACTTAGTATTGATTTTTGTGTAGTGGAGGTAGGGGCTCAATTTCATTCTCCTCTCCCACATACAGATAGCCAGCTGCTCTAGCAGTATTTATTGAAAAACCTATCCTTTCTACACTGATCTGCTATGCCTCTTGTCATTTGTCAAGTGCCCAAATGTGTGTGAATGTGTTTCTTGGCCTTTTTATTCTGTACTATTATTGATCTATTAGTATGTCCGTATGTGAACAACAAGTTTTCTCAGTTATTATCACTTTGAAACGTGTTAATATGTGGTAGAGCAAGTTCTTCCACTTTGTTCTTCTTGGAGAGTGTCTTATCCAGTCTGGCCATTTACATTTCTTAGACTCATAGTATAAAGTTATATAAAATAAGCCTGCAGGATGTTTTCTGTATCGTATTTAACTTATAAACCAATACATGAAGAATTAATATCATTACAACATGAAGTTTTCTAATCTATTCATTCAGGTGTTTTTATTGCCTTACAATAAAGTTTTATAATTTTTTTCTGAAAGATCTTCTACGTCATTGTGAAAAATATTCATGGTTACTTACAATTTTATAGTATTGTAAAAAATGTTTTTAATTTTTATTTTCTAATTGTTTGTATATAGGAGTATGATTAACTTTTACATACCGATTTTTGTATTAAAGTATCTTCTTAAATTCCTTTACATATTAGAGTAATTAATCTATAGGTTCATTCTACCTAGATGATAATGTTATTTGCAAAGAGGGACAGTTTTTGTTTCTTTTTAATCCTTATACCTGTTGTTGTTTTTCTTGCCTCACTGCCTCGGATAAGACCTGAAGTATAATGTTTAATATAAGTGATAGTGGTTATTCTGGCTTTGTTCCTAATTGAGGGATGATTTACATTTCACAAATAATGTGATAGTAGTTTGTCTTTTTGTCTACATATATATTTTATCAGATTAAGAAATCTCCCTTCTATCCTAATTTACTAAAGAGTTTTCTTTAATACTGAATGGACTCTTAAGTTTTATCAAATACTTTTTCTGTATCAGGGTATACATGTGATTTTACACTTACTATGTTAATGTGATTAATTACATTAACTGATTTACTATTAAATTTAAAAATCAGTGATATATTTACATGTCTCAAAAGCCTATCTTTCACCTTTGCCCCTTTCAGCTGGTTTCCCACTTTCAAGTGCTTCTTTTAGCAAATACAGGTATATGCATTATATATGGTCTTAATTCCATCCCTTTGTGTTGTTATTATTATATTGTATAATTAGAGCAACGTTGTGTTTCGAGGGCAAACCCAACTTGGCCATGATGAAGTGTCCTTACATTTTTGAGTTTGGTTTATTAATAATTTGTGTAGGTTTTTAATTTATATTTATGGGAGAAATTTACTCATAATTTTCTTTTACTGTTCTCATGAGATTTTACTATCAAGGTTATGTTGGCTTCATAATATGAAGTTGTTTGCTTCTCTCATGTTTTCTTTTTCTTTCTCTTTTAATGCTCTGGAAGTGTTTGTATAAGATTGGAATATTTCTTCCTAGAATGATTGGTAGTTTTCTACTTTGCAGCCTATGGGTTTGAGTCCTGTTGTATTAAACGACCATGGAAGCCTTCTGGACTTGAAAAGACAGGGTTTGGGGGAGGAGGGCGAGGGAGGGAAGGAGGACAGGAGAAATAATTTTGTTTTGTTTTGTATAGTATTTTTGGCTATGATTCTATTTAATGGTTATAGTTTTGCTCAAGTTGTCTATTTTTCCTTAAGTCAATTTTAATGTTATTTTCCCAAAAGTTGTGTATTTTATCTAAATTTCCAAATGTATTAGTATAAATATGTGAATCATATTCTATTATCTTTTGTTCATACTGCAGCTACCCTCTTTATTCCTTTAAGAATAAAGTAAGCGCGTTCATTTATAATTGGTGATGTTTTCAGTAGGTGAAGACATTTTAGGTCTCTGTTATTGTTTTGGATGGTGTTTTTCTTGTTTCTTTATTTCTTTTTGTTCATTATGTTTGACAGCATAGCTTCTCATTGCCTTTAAAAAATTATTTGTTGGGATTTCCCAAGTCTTGGTATGAAACTGTATTTGAAGGAGGATTTCAGTTTGCTTCTACTAAAGCTTGAAAGTATAACTTATTTAGAATCTCCTTAAACTGAGTTGCTTGAGACCAAATTTTTAGGAAGTGTCTTCCAAAGTTTACAGCCTCTTAAAGAATTTTCTTTCATCCCAACCCAAGCCACCCCCTCAACCCATTTTGTTCAGCTCCAAGGCAACACTCCGCACAGTCCCCTTTGGAGGGTCAGGTAGTGACACGCTCCCTTTGGTTTGCCTTTACTCTGGTTATCCCTCTACTCTTTGGCAGGGGTGGGAAGATTCCAAATCTGTATGGAAAGGGTCTTCTTTAAATGCCCCAAATGCCATAGGCTTTGCTTTCAGTTACCTTCTGCTCACCTGCCTAACTTTCTACTCCTAATCAAATAAATGCTCAGCACAGTTTCTTTCAAT